AAATGTATCATTTGTTGAGGATCATTAAAATTGCTACCCAGTCCCTCACAAAAGTTATTCAATATTTCTTAATCGGAAGTTAACAGTTGTTCATATTTCAAAGTATTTCACATTCTGCAAACACACAGAGGTAAAATTTGTTTCCTTATATTTTCTCATGTAGATATCTCCCTTTGGATAAACCCAATATCCAAAACCTCCCAGTACATAACTCTACAATATACAGGGTGGGCCAAAAAACGCCACTTTTTTCAAAATGCTATAACCTTTTTAATTTTTGGTACAAAATCATAATTTGCATACCAAATGAAACTTGAAGATGTTATCTAGCCATGGATCATGAATTGTCCACTTTTACTTGAATAAAATATGTCACCAGCGTCTCACTTAAACATGTGGTGTGCCATGAGAAATAAGCATAATTTGCAAAATGTTCCTGAACTGATATGGCCTGATGACCGCCAAGCTAATAGTCCTGATGCAAACCCAAGTAAGTATAGAGTTTGGGAAGGTCCCCAGGAGATTTTATGAAGGCACCCGATCTAATAAATTGCTCAACTAAAGCTGGCAATTAAGACATGTTGAAAAAAATTTAGCTAACATTCCATTGATACTGCTATATCAGCAAGGCGACTAAAACAAAAATCTATCATCAAATAGGGTGGCGGACCAATTGAACTCCTCTTTTAGATCAAATATAATCCAAGTTGAAGAACTTGTTACATTATATTATTACTAAGAACCCCTGGCACTATATAACTGCAAAGTTTGCGGTATGTAGGTTGGAAAATAAAAAAGTTACAGTGTCTTGAAAAAAAGTGGCGTTTTTTGGCCCACCCTGTATAACCCAATATGTACAAATACGCCTATTTAAAGGGACCCACCACCATAGTCACATGATCAGTCGTGTGGAGGTAAGCTCCCAGTTGAAATAAAAGCAGTTGTCCTCCTTTGGTTTATGTGAAAAGTAGCTAATACCCTCATGTATTGGTCAGTTTGTGTGTCACACGACTAATCCGCACCATATGCTTCATTCAACATATTTTATGCTATTAAGCTGCATATATAAACAGTACTTTGCAACTAAGGTCATACAGTATACTTATCCCTTGCAAATTGTAATTTATTGAATTCACAGTAAACCCATCAATTTTTAAGAAAACAAAGAATATTGTTCTCATGGATCTATTATTTATGTTAGACTAACTATGAAAATATAAATATGAAATAATATGTTAGCTTGAAGTCATATATAAGATGAAAATATATGTTCATGCATTTGCATTTTTCCAAAGGGAATATTCCCATGTAAGTAAATACAGGTGCAATATATAATTTATATGTATTTCTATGTCATATGTCAATACATGCGCGTATAGCCTAGTGATACATGTGAACAAGATGGTTCTGGAAAAAAATGAGCGTGGCAGATTTGCTAAAAAGCCACATACACCACAAAAGCAAGACCAATTTGAAAGTAAGTTAATTATTCTCAAGGGTCCACTTCAAGTGATAGCTACATTGCTACAGCGTGGCCTATCATTCTGAGACAAATGTATTATCCAACGATTGTGATTTTCGAAGCTAAAATATGATATCTTGAGCAGATGGAAATACATTCCCATGAGATATGTATATATAGTCAAAAGTGATAACTATTTATTGAGTGTAATGAAACGTATCCTTCGCTAACTGCTTTTGTTTGAGATAATTATCATGAAATATTTTTAAATTAATTTTCATGTGTGTCATTGATCCTAATCCACCCTGTAGTCTGGTGTTTGTAGAACATTGCACCTCGTACAACTTATTCTCACAAATATCAAACCTCATTTACTAATTAATTTTTTGTGTGAATATGAAGAGTCCAAGCATTGCTTTTTTATGTTTACTGTATAGCTATATTTAGCCTTGATATCCATGATTTTTTAAAACAAAATCTCACCGTTAGATTTCGAGCTATTCATGTTTACTCATTTTTCTAATTGGAAAACAATGCAAATCTCATTTTTTCAAAGGAAAAAAATTGAAATTCTAAAACGGTGAAAAATCATTAAAAAATACACAGATTCAGAAACCGGCAAGCATTTTCCCTTATTCCTCTCCGTTAAGAAGTTTTGTAAGGTGTTGGGTCCCTTTAAAAAGCTTCAGTCCCAAGTGAAAAACATATCTTCCCTAAGGTCGATGTGAGCACCTCAGCAATCAACTAATTAAAGTGGAGATGTTCTTTGAGTGTGCTACCGCGACCTCGTGGTGGCCCGTCAACAACCCATATTGACATCATTTTATACATTATTCATATCACCAGTTGCAATTATAGCATTAATTAAGGAGCCTTTTTGCTATTTTACATCCAATTATACTCGTAAATTAAATGAATTGCCTTTTCAATTGTGGCGTAACTCTATTTTTGATATTTCATCTTACCCATATCGCTAACTTAATTGGCTTCGTTTGAGCTATGATTAGGAATACTTTTTCTTTGGGCTTAATATCCCTTTCTCGTCAGGAATGTGATTCGTATTAACCACGTTGAAGTTTCTCAATATATTGGGGTATTAGTTTGCCATTTTCGATTTGTGAACGGGAAATAGTTTTTTTGAAAAGTTGAAGTTACGGAAAAGTTAACGTTGAAACGTAAAAGTCAACTCAGCCCTACCTTCATTTGTTAGATGTTTTTAAAGCTCGTTGAGGACAAGTTCACCTTCATAGATTAAGCGAGAAGCGCATCATGAAAAATGATACAATAGTGATGAGATTAGATAAGGTGGTATTAACTGTCAAAGGGCACCATAACCTCGAATTTCTAGAACTGTCCCGAGTTTGTGGACGCTGTACTGCAGTTTGCAACGAAATCCAGTTTCTGGTAGATTTTATCAACTAGGCACCTTTTGGATATTTTTGTTCGTTTTCATGTCACCGCCACGTGGTGACATATGTTCCATTTTTGTGGACGATGTTCGGCGGTTGGTTTTCGGCGGTCTGTATCTGCAACAAATGGCAGGTAGTTAACGCCTTGTAAAAAGAATGTTGCATCCATACTCTACTAGCGTGAACTATTTAGGCTACCCAGGTCTTTGGTACTTTTAGTAATTACGTTTACATCAAAATAAATGAAAATGAAACTTTAAGTAATCGAGACTTGGAGCGACTGCAATCATTTAGGTATATAAAACTAAGGAATAGAGACGGCACTACAATTTGTTTTCATTTTGGTAAACAAACCTTAGAAATAGAGACTATGAGCATTAAGCCAAATAACACTAAAACTGAGATAAGGGTCTACAGGTCGTCTGCATTTAAATACGCTGCTATTGAAAGTATTGAAATACCCTTGAACAAAGGATGACTGACCCTGTCGATCCATTCTGATACTGATCACATCTTTCTGTCTTCAACCAAGGGCTTATTTAATACCCGGGGCTTAGTTGTGTACCAAACGAAACGATAAACGACACGACATCCGGGGCTTTGTTTGGTCTTCAACCAGAAATATGACATCATGAGATATCATGATGGCAGATGACATAAAGATGTGATGAGTATCAGAATGCATACTAGTTTGAAGCTGATAGAAGGCCATGATATCTCATGATGGACCCTGTCTCTGTTTGTCCTTTCTGAATATTGAAGTTCTATCGTGATTGACTCAACTCACTTTGACTTTGTTTTATATCTAACGTTTGTGATTGATGTTACAGAACCTAATTCAATGTGAATGTACGTCGGCGTTCTGTACTGAAATGCACGGATGTAATGCTGCTAGAAAAACAACACAATTAGATGCGATAATCGAAAGTCCTGGAAGACACGAAAATCGCACGTAATGATCCTTGCTCAACCTTGTTCAACCTAAAACGCTTGCGTATTCTGTTGTGACCACATACATACGTTAATTTGTGTAAAAATGCACCAAAGATTTTTTGAATATTTCGACCAGGGGATTGATTAGAACCTCTTCTCTAATCGTTTGTTTTGCAATTGGTTCCTTCAAGGTCATAAATACCTGAGATTTTATATATAAAAGTACCACGTTAAAAATCCCGAAGTGGCCGGAATCGGCTAGTGTTTTTTAACTAATGTGTAAAAATAGGAACACAACATGTATAATAAACAAAATATCTAACGTAGCCAATAACAAAGGAAGGAGTAATTCAAACTATTTTTGTAAATCAACGACCTCGAGTATTCATTTATTGGGCATTTCACTCGATATGAGCTCTTTTCCAGACGATTTGTACATACCAAATCAAACGTTCTTTTTATCACAGTAGTCTTCTTATTTATTATTTCTAGACATTATTTGTAAAATTTTACTCTTAAAATTGAAAACTTTTATAGTATTTTGAGAAGACTGATATAAACGATTGATCTGGTGTTTTTGATTAGACATTTTCAAATCAATCGTTTTTTCTCGGTCGTGTATTCTCATGTAACCACCAAATGCGGTGACATATTGTTATAGCCGCCAACGTTTTATGGACAATGTTCGGCGTTCGGCGTCTGTAACAAATATTGAAGGTGGTGACATTTTGCATGTTAATGCCTTGTATTTATTAGTTGTCGAGCTAAAACTACCAAATCCCGAAACAATGACCAAAAATTAAAAAAGAGATGTTCCCATTCGTATGCCATGGTAACTTTTGGACTTGACAGACATGCCATCTTTAAAGGGACGGAGAATTGATTTAATTTCACCTGTTACTTTTTTAAGCCGTGAAGAACAACTAATAACGAATGATGGACCCCAGTGCTTTACTAGTTTATGTCTTGTTTTATTGTCTTAGTACTTTGCCGAGTATCAATTAATATTATCATTTTATGGCTTCTTTCGTAGTTTTATTTTACTGCGTTTTATCCACTTAACCTGTATCACGGCGATGTAAAGGATTGTTTTGTGTGAATTAATGGCCTGATATAAGATGTTTAGTTCACTCCAATCAAGTACATTAGAATGTTGGATCTATATTCGCATGCCATCCGCCAGTCGGTTCAATAAGCGTTATTATTTTTATAATGCGCCCTTTAGTTGCAATAATCGTAATTGATTCATCCTTTGTTCTTGTTTTTAGGATAAAAATGTCAGACTGTTGATCAGTGGATATTTACCGATATCTCGAAGATTTTGTTTACCATTACCATGACGACACTGGATTATACCAATTTCAATCTCACGCGAAATGATAGCTTCACTGTTAAGCTAGAGAAAACGTCTGCGCAGCCAATCAGCGTTGGGGGCAGTACGTCAAAGGATGCAATCACCTCAGTAAACAACTTTAGCGCAAGTCTGGAGAGTTTGGCAGATGTATCAGCTGGGAACGGTAACACTTCTGTAAATATGACGAATTCGACATGGGTGGATCCGTGTCTACAGGATTATTTTATCTATGAGGACTTTACCCAGATTGACTGGGTGAGGATTGTCTTCATTGTGCTCTACAGTATGATCATTACCCTATCAGTGCTCGGGAATATCATGGTCATTTGGACAGTGTGGCGAAATAAACACATGCAGACGGTCACCAATTACTACATCGTCAACCTCGCTGTGAGCGACTTGCTGGTATCGGCGTTCGTTATGCCGCTTAAACTCGTGGAGTACGTCGCCCCGTGTAAGTTACACGTGTTCAGCGAGGATGCTATGTGCTCTGTCGTTTCGTTCGTTTTGCCCGTTTTTGTGTTCGCCAGTGTCCTGACATTGGTCGCCATTTCTATAGAAAGGTAAGTTCAAGCTTGAGCCTTATGCCTCTGTCATATTTGATCTACGGCAATCGTATGGCAGCCGTAGCTTCCCAAAATCGAGAGAAATATGCAGCATGAAATGTAGGAATAAGCAGTACGATGTAGATTTCCTACGTCGATTTAATGAAGCTACGACCGCCGTACGGCCGTCGTAGAGCAAATGTAACTGAGGCTTCGGTCGTCGCCATATTCTCCTCCTTCAGCTGTCAATACCACATGCCCCATTGTCGGAGTCATCTTAACATTCAGAGATACGTGAGAGAAAATGGTATTTTGAAATTAACTTCTATCGCATCATGATTGAATAAGAGATTACAAAACAAATTGATTATTGCTGTCTCGACTATCCAGGATATACATGTCGTACGAGTTACATAAATATATTATAAAATAAATATCGTTTGAAGTACATGTATATGATATATTTTATAAGCCATATCATATGAAATTATCCTACTTGAATGTAATTATGTGTGATATAATTATTTTCGGTATCTCGTGTTTTATATTATTTAATGTTTTATTATTTAATTACTCTAAATCTATGATATTTAAAGACAGAATCAGATACAGCAACCAATCTTTCCATGCCCAAATGACTGTTTCAATTTTCGACTATTTTGTCAACATTGCGTTTCTTGTAATATATATTTTCTTAAAGTCCCCAAACTTCATACTTTATTCCAGGTAAACTAAAGAATTTCACATTCATGTTTTACTTAACCTCCCTATTATATCACGAATCTTTTGGGAGATTTGATCTGGCGAAGAACGCATTATAAGTATACGTCACATGCTTGCAATTTTGACATTCAATGTAAACTTGATTCTGCCATTAAATTCAACATACATGTAACCTGCGGTAAAACCACAACACATTTACAGGGTACAGGGTGAGCGCAAAAAACAATACACAAATGAAAATTTAATTATAAAAGTCAATTCTCTTTCAGCTGTAGTTCATAGTTTACTTCGTATAATGCATCAGTAAAGGAAACTGTAATTTCCTACAAAATTTTATTTCTATCTGTTTATACTAAATGCAGAATTAAGGAGTGTGAAAAATGTTTATATGTTTTTGTTTTTGTTATGACCATCATGTTATCCATCATTGTGAGAAATAACATCTTAACAATGGACTATTTGCTATATAGATGAGTAAGTAGATGGCAGCATGTGTGTTGGTAGTGCCAAAATATATGGAGAAATATGGCAGGAGTCACTTAATTTCTTGATCTATCAAGTATTCCATTTGGATTAACGTAATACACCATTAGAATGTAACTTATATGGTATCGATATGGTATCTTGATTGATATATGCGGATTGTAATTTAACATTAAAATTGTGATCATTCTTCAAAGAGTTTATGAATTTTAAAAGTTTATTTGGCATTTTTTCAATGGGTATAGCCCGACCTTCAGAAAACTTTAGAAGAATAAAGATAAATAACTGTTCAAATCAAAGTTGTTTTTGACAGGAAATTAAACACATAATTCAAATATACCATCAAATCGAAGAAAATGTTGGTTTTAATGGTTAAAATACAGATCTTCTAATTACATAACATCTCATTAAAACGAGACTTGATTTCAAAGCTATTGCGTATCATATACTGCATAATGTAGAATAAATACAATTTTATATCATGTTCAATTGTGTCTATTGGTGTTTTTTCCCACCCTGTATCTTTATTGCCGCCAACTCTAATCATATACATATAAATAAATTAAATTTACTAGTATAAAACTCATATGTAAACAAAAAAGGATGAAAAATATGTACATTTACAAAGTAAAAGTATTCTAGTCCATTGCGTGCCATAAAGTATTGAGAGATCTAACCTTCATTTGGTACATTTTATATGCTGTTCTCATGGCTCTGGCAATTATAATGCGATCTTCAATTTCCGACTCAGTGCAAAAGGAACTGCAATTAGTGTCCTTAAGAAGACCCCTAATAAATTTCACGTCCGTTTACAATATGTCTCAAGGTCGAAGTCGTGTGAGAATTACACACTTGACATGTTCACTTGGTTCCATGTCATGATCAACACCTTCAATATTGTACCACTAGGTTAATCCGGCAGCCGCTAGCTGCTATTGGCATTCGCGAATACAAGCCTAGATTTATACTTGGAAGACCTTGAGAAGTGAGAGAACAGTATGGAACTAATTGCTAATTGTGTCACTAGTGACACGATATGTAAATGTCGAAAACTTATTGAAATACCCATCATCCTGACATGTAACCGACTTTATTAAAAAAATCTTCTCGTAATTATTAATCATTTGATTCACCATAGATTCACAATACATTAGGCCTAATTGTTCACAAAACTGCTATTCATTCTTTGTAATTGATACTTATAACCAGAATGGAATGCTTCTTATATTAAAAGCAACACTAAACGAATTGACACTTTGTTTTCGTTTTCAGTCCGTATGACATCCGAATAAATTGGTTTGATGCGCTTTATCTGTTCTAAAGTCATTGACTTCATCTTGAATTTACTTTGATATCTCATGAACGATGATCCTGTAATTGGGACTATTATTCATTGAATTTGTTTCCTTAGAGTGACTTATTGGCCAGAACGTACAGATCCCCAGCTAGATGTTTTAATGTCAGATTATATGGCCACTCAAAATAACTTTCCTCTGGAATATAACCATGAGATGATTGGGATGTTGTGTTTAACACTGAGCTCCACAGAGCTGCTTTGTAATTGCATTATTATATCGAATTCACGGTTGTAAAGGTTACAAAATGAGCTAAAACTCATGTGGGACAGCGGGGCAAGACGGACCCCTTGGAGCAGTAATTGTTGACGCCTTGTCATATTTGACTGTGGTTCGTGTCCGCTGAAACCATGTGTATTGAAACAAGAGACACTGGTTCTTTGAAATACGAAATACATTTGTATTAAAACCTTGAAATATCGCAAATTGTTTTGTCATGGGACAAGAAGGGCCCCCACGTGTCAAAAAGGGCCGTTCTTTCTGATTCGTTACTTCTTCGAATCTTAGGTTTTACCATAGAGACTAACAGAAGTGGAACAAGACAGTGGAAAAGTGCCACGGCAGGTAACTGCTAAATAGGTCGGTCACAAGTGTCAGGTCCGAAAAGTTGATACTTCAAATGTTGAAATCGCAAAGTTTCCGCTGGAGTTTTTTAAACTTTTGTTGTGGATTTCATTCACGTACATTGCTCTTTTTGAAAATGTCGGATAGTAAACTAAAAGATGCGTTAACCCCCTCCCCCAAATTGAATTAATTTAGTTTCTTATCAGACATTGCTATTTTATGCTGCCCCTTTATATCTAGTAGAAAGGCAACTAATTATAAACATAAATTCTCTCGAAATTCTACCTGCATGAGGATGTCCGAAAAGTCTTTTTGTTCTCATATCATCAATTTTTATTCTTTTGGCATCGTATTTTACATGGACACCGTGATGAATGATGTTTAAACATTTGTTGTTCACTTCGTAAAGTATTCCACCTATATTATCGAAACCATTCATCTAGCCAGCCCGAGGTACCGAGCGTTGGCCGGGGCTCTCTATCAAAGAAACGAAGCAATGAGCATACGGAAGCGAATCACCCACTGAATGTCACGGCGTACTTGTATTCTCATCTCCAAACGTGTGATGTGATTTAAAAGGCGTAACTATTGTTGCAACGCTCGTTACATGCGTGAATGATTTGTTTGACGTACACAGAAGTTGCATTTAGGAAATTAACGGGAAGCACTCGAGAAATGTGAAAAATGTGTTAATTACAGTAAGTTGTAAATGATTAGAATTCTCAGCTAAATGTACACATAGCGACAAAACACCTCAGAAATGACGTTCGTTCGTTTCCCGGCTCGTTTCTAAATATAAGTTTTCTTTCAGTAATTTTGATTTATTTTATAGACTATCTATTATTTCTTTATTGTGTTTATATTTAGTAGGAATTAGGAAATACCTCTTACATTATTAATAATCATCGATACGACTTCAAATGAATTGTTTTCCATAATTCACAAGATGATTGTAAAACGAATGTACCTTGTTGCAAAAATGTTCATCCCTAGCGCCTACTGAAGGCGGAGAAATGAAATCATAATTAGTTGTTCATTTTCAGGAAAATGCCAGCTCTGATCTATATACTGCTAATATCTGAGAGACCCTTTAATGTTCCCTTGTGCCTCTTTAACATCCAATATTGTGTACACGATAAGGTTTGAGCAACTTCAGAGAGGAAATCGAATTTACGTTTATCAATGTATTTTCCAAATTGACTTGCGATTCAATACGCAATTAAATGGATGTTTGTCACGTATTAGAAACTATGTTTGACGTATTTGTTATTAAATATAAACGAGCGAATGTTCTCAACGCGAGAATCATAAGACTAAATGATCTTAGATAGTTTATCTGGATGTAGGTAATGAAGAGAAACGTTTCTACTGATACAGTTACGCACTATCTGTTACGTTAACACCTTTCTACTGATCGGTCACTATAATCACGACCGCTCCACATCATGTTTACCGTTTCTCTGAATTCTTTGGATTTTTCAAACTTGGCGTGACATGTATTATTTTATGTTTCTGCCAAATGGCAAGGGCGCTGCCAATCATTCATGCTACATAGACAATTGTGCCGAGTTTCTTTTAACACTTTGTGAATTAAATCTCTGTTGGATCCGACTGGTCAATGCTTTGGCATTCACTCAACAGGTGCAACAACATATACTACTCCGCTTGAATACATTATTAGTTGTTCCAGACGTAAAATTACACAAACAAATTCCACATTACGAGATCGATTCTGATTTCAAACTACCAACTGTTTTCTCGTTACTCAGAAAACACTAAGCCAAACACTATTCTAGATTCAACAAAATGAAAATGTAATACTAAGCTTGATTGCCGTTATCGGAATCAACTTGGTCTTCATTACCCGCATCTTCAATTATCTCTGTGTATATA